CTTTCTGTAGTTAATAATTAACAAGAGTTAATTTAACTAATAACAGAAAATAAAAGGATAATATCACACTAGATGTCATTAATATATAGAACAATAGTGTAGTTTAGGAATAACAATTAGTTATACATTAATATTCAATTGATATATTCATGTATTTTTATTTTCCTACTTGATATTATATAATAAAAAAAAAAAAAATATTAATAATCAATTTTCAATAAAATTTTATATAATTAAATATTATATATTTAATAAACAGTTTGCTATGTATCTTCTTAATTAATAAATAAGTAAATTTTTTTTTTTTATTAAATTTTTTGTTATTGAAGAGTAATTTATATTTAAATATAAAATATAGATGCCTTTAAGTGCTTTCTTATATTGAATATTACAGCTTGTTACATATACACTTTTGATATTTAATTTAAGTAATCTGCTTATATATTGCTATATAAGTTCTATATTATATACTATACTTATAAGCCAACTATAGGTTTTGTCTATAAAAATATTTTCAAAACATAGTTATTCAAGTTTTTAATACTTTATTCTTTACAAAAGACTTACTAAAGTCTGCTATATCTTATATGCAATTAATCTAATTTTATACAATATGTTATAATTATTTAACATTTGTAGTTACAGAGATTATCTGTCTAACTGCTATGTAATACTATTTTTATTTTTGTAAAGTTTTTTAACATAAGAAAAATAAAACTGGTTCCAAACACTAAGTTGAAATTGGCTGAAGATGAGATCAGAAAGTCTCTATTTAAATCTATAATACTTATCAAAATTCATTTGTACTCTTTTATTAATAAAACTACCTTTAAATCCTAATTCAATTCTACAAAAAACTGACAAAAAAGACCTCAAAAATTTTAAAATTTAATATTAAAATATTTTAAAATCTCAGCTTCAGCTGCCACAATCAATATATATGGTAAAGCCCCATATGTAAAGATAGCCAAATCGCGGTTTCTCCAAAAATCCGCGTGAGATTCATCAAACCACAAATCTTTCCAACCCTAATTTCACTTAATGGGCGGCCACGATTTCTTTACTAAAAATTCGAGTAATTTTGCCTAAAGTTTTGGTCGTTGCCATTGGTCAATCAAAATAGTGAATTTTCACGTATTATTTGCAAGGTTTAATCGCAGTAATTACATTAAGCACGTCCTTGGTTAAAGTTTTTATCTGATCCAAATTTTGTAAGATAATTTCAAATATCATTATTACTACGCATGTTATATTTATTTTTAAAAGTGGCTTAATCATAAAGGATATTTTTGTGACGTAAGCAAAAAATACCAACGGCAAAGAAGGTGAATTTTTATCATATATATAAATAAACATATGTGTGAAATGGTATGTAAATAACTAAATAAATATTAATTAGGAATTAGCTAAATATGTTAATGCAAGTCATATATTGTATTAATGCTAGCCAGATGTTATGTAATGCCGGCCAGATAATCTTATTTTGGGATCATATTAAAAATCCCACAATTCCAATTATACAACTAAAGTTTGTAAAATAGTGCAATAAGCTCGCATCTATAATAAATATAGAAACAAGTAATCAATTTGATATAAAAAGAAATATCCAATCAAAAGCACGTATTTGTACAACAACACTTAACTTGTCGCTTAACCACACTCTGTTCCTGGTAAAAAGGATAATTATTTAAATAAATTTTATTATGTTACCTTTCAACAGTTTCGTCACCTTCGTCAGTTTCGTCACCTTTCGCCAGTTTCGTCACCTTTCGTCAGTTTCGTCATTTCGTCTTTTTAATTTTTTTTTGACGAAACTCTTAGGTTTCGTCTAACAACATTATCTTGTATCCAAGCTAGAGTCGACCTATAAGAATTTTTCTTACTTATTGTCGGGACTTAAGTTCCACCTGCACTGGAAATTAAAATAAAATAGATATTTAAATAGTAAAACTAAGAAAGCTAGCAACAAATACAATGATGAAAGTAATAATGAAGGTAATTATAAATTATGAATTGAGTGACGATAATCATCCGCTATACCTATCCAATTCTAATCTGATTTGTCATTAGTGAATGACAGAGTTTATGATCATAAACAATATCTATAAAACTGCATCGTATAATAAATTACGCAAGACATTGTTTATAATTCTAGGTATATTTCTTACTAAAGGATGCAAATTGCGACCCGAAGAAAGAATATTGTTAGCATACGACGAAAGGTATACTAAAAACGTAAAAAGTAGACATAACTACGATTCATACAACTTCCACCTCTTCAACTAAATCGTCCGTGGGCTACGCAAAGATTGTAAACTAAATAACAGACTCCCCATTTTTCTAGTTTCACCACAATTTTTTACTACTCGAAATATAGTACATACACCGTCCCACTAACATTATGGTGCTTGAAATATGATGCAATATAGGCTATAGCCCAATAAAATTTGATAGTTCAATCACAGATTACATTCAGGTAAGTTTGCCCGTAAGACAATATAAATTGTATTGTTTAAATTTTAAATAAATTTAACTCGAACACACAATGCTGTGCATTTATCCAGTAATATTATGATCAACTGAACAAATATTTTGACAGGTCATCATAACAATGGGACACAAAACATTTCACAATAGTTTTAGTATCAGCGATATTACCTAACTATTGGGACGTCCCAAAGCCATGTGAGTGCTGCCAAAGGAATTATTAATCTAATTCAGCCCTTCTGATTTGACAAATATCGGGATTTAATTATTATTATGTGGTTTTTGCCTTGAAAATGACCTTATGGGACATAGTAATTACTATGTTCCATAAGGTCATTTCAAAGCAAAAACCCCATATGTATGTACACCATATCGACATAATTAAACTCGATATGTCGTCGATCTGAAGGGGCTGAATTAGACCAATAATTAATAATATATTTAAAAAAACCGGGGTGCCCTTTTCTCTTGGCAGCATTCATGTGTGATAAGTAGTATCGCTTTATCCTTATTTTTGAAACTACGTCAAATATTTGGGTAACATCGTTAGTCAATATGTACAAACACACTCCTGACTATGCAAAATTTTGTGCAACAGTTTCAAATAATTTTTTATTTCTAATTGGTCATATTGGTCGAAAGTTACATATAAGTAACTTATAAAAACAGCCATTAATGGTAAATCCTTTTATGAATATAAAGTCTAACAAAGGTTCTAAAAGTATTCCATATCCAGCTTAGAATTTCATCATATTAGGAATTGTATAGAGAAACCTTATCCATGTATATCGATATTTATCAATTACAAATTAATAATCAAATGTATAGCGATAGTGTAAATATTTATTGATTTCAATCATATCTGCGTTTGTAAAACTGTACCATAGTGATAGTTTTAAATTTTCAATTGATAGACTTAAACATACTACCACTCATATTATATATATTTAGCTTTTACATACTTGTATCGGAAAAATAGTTATTAAACTATGCAAATTTATAAAATTGTCGTCCTCGGCGACAGCGACACTGGAAAGGTATTTATCATAAATAGTTAATTTTATTAAAGTCATTACATATATTAGAATATTAATATTTTTTACTAATTTCAGACTGCGCTAACTATGCAAGTATGTATACATTTAAACTTTTTAAATAATTATTGTTATTTTAATATTTGGTTTTAAAAAATATTGATTTTGTCATAGTTTTGCTTAAATTGTTTTCCCGGTAAATTAATCATTTCCAAATCATCTATTTTTAACTCATTTTAACCTATTTATAATTAATTAAATTTCTTGTCTATTTATCTATCATTTATTAAACTGACTGATATTGACTGATAGAGGTATTTACATAGGATTTCCTCCATTTTCACTGACGCTATTTTCAACTTTTAATTCTTTATTATCTTTCCCCAGAATTACGATCCAACAATAGAATCTTCATATCGTAAACAGACTGTCATTGATGGTCATGCATGTATGATTGAAGTATTAGACACGGCTGGACAAGGTGCTTATCATGACTATTGACAATCCGTAGTGCGCGAACCAAAGTATCTTCTTTTGAATAGAGGTCGGAACTTCATAAACTGAATTTGATTAGATTTAAATCGGTTTGATTTGCAATATACAGTATATTTTCATAATAATAGAACGGAATTTCAAACCGTTTCCGACCTCTACTTTTAAGAATATTGAATAAACCTCGTTTAATCGATAAAATCCTGATCTTCATAACGATAACAATAAATCTTTATTAATACGCCTTAACTACTTCAAGTTAATAAACTTGTATAAATTTAAAATTATCCTTTTTAAAAATAACTATACATACTGAAAGAACGGTAGATACTTTGATCCATGCATGACGTTATAATTTCGTATATTTATATTTGATGCATAAAATTAACAATCATTATCCACGTAGATGAGTTCACTGCTTTGCGAGACCAATGGATTGGGTATATTTTAATTATATATATATATATTATATATATCGTTCTTTTTCTTCATTATATAAGAATTCATATTTACGTTTATAATTGTGAAATATAGAGATTGCGAGGGTGTCGTTCTTTTATATTCGATTTCATCAAGACCTACATTTGAAAGAGTATATAGATATTATGATCAAGTCTTAAGGGTCAAAGATACGGAAAGTGTCCCTATGATTCTTGTTGGTAACAAAAGTGATAGGCTTAATGAAAGAGAAATTTCAAAAGAAGAAGGAATGGGAATGGCAAGACGATTAAAGTGTGATTTCATCGAAGCATCTTCGAGGACTGGTATAAATGTGGATCGGGTATTTTATAGTGTAATTAGGTTGATAAGGCAATCAAGGGGAGATGAAATCATAACACAAGAAAGAACTTCAAGAGGAAAAAAATTGCTAAATTGTTGTCTTATTATCTAGTATATATTATAGTTTTAATCTTTAAAGTACATAGATTAAATATATTTATTAATAATTTTATTCATTATCTCTTACATGTTTTACACTTAGATTTACATGTAATTTATACAATATTTTAGTTGAATCTTAGATCTTAAAAACAAAATAGTTCTTATTTAGTTGTCATTAGAATTATTAAATTGCATAATTGTGGTTTGCGGTAGAACTGTAAATATATAAAACTCGTAGGCGTGCAATTTCTATTTTGACTTCGATTTTCGATTCTCATGACATATAATAACTTTGTAGTTTTTGAAATCAAAAACTTAATAAAGAATGTGTTGATAGTAAATAATAAAATGGATTTTCTGTTATGTAAATTGAATTTCTATTGTTGTTACGGATTAAGAGTTGCAAATTGGCTTATCAGGCAATATATAACATTTATCATATTTTATGCTAAGTTATTATAAATTGCACAAGAATAATTTTACAACTTACTAGTGTATAATATTAACTTAAATTTAGAATTCACCGAAAGTAAAGTAAACTCATTGCAATGTATTTTATAACGTCAAAGTTAAAATCAAAATTTGGGATTAGGACCAAGACTCAGGTTAGTATTAGAATTTGGGATTTTTTAGGGCGCTAAATATTTTACTCAGTAAACCAAGCATCAAAGTCATTTTTGAGAAATAGCATGTTCAGTGAATTTCACATTCGGTAAACATTAAAGTCGTTCTAAATTTAAGTTCAATCAATTTTATTTTGATTAGAATTAATTTAGGACTTGGAATAAATTTAGGATTTTAAATTTAAAAATCATCTTAAAATAGCGAGATTGAAATAAATAAATTTAGATGTCTTTTATTCAGCTTAGAAATTAATTATTAAGTTTTGGTTTTGAGAATCTAAAATAAAAGACAAGTAAATTAACAAATAGCGTATTTAATATATAAAGTAAATAGTTAAAAATATAGTTAGAAAAATTACCAGTATATATGTTAAGTAAATTTAATTCCTCTGTTAAATCAATGGTCTTAATATCGCCACTTTTGCGCATCTCATTAAGATCTTGTTCTTCCGATTTAATTGATAAAGTAGAAATAATTTTATCAGCAGTCTTAAATGCATTAAATATTTTTTCTTCATCTTCATCTAAGCAATCTAGATCATCAAAATTTCCACTTTCGTTAAACTCTTCAAAACATTTTAGATCATCGAAGTTTGTACCAGTTTTTAAAGTCTTATCATTAATCTCATCATCAGTACTATCATAATCGTTAATCTTGTCAGTGATTTCTTCGTCATTGTCAACCACATCATTATTATAAATATCATCAGTAATTTCATCACTGGTATCTTTATCATAAATCTCATCAGTACTCTCATCATCACTATTACTCTCATCAGTAATCTTATCATTACCATTACTCTCATCACTTGTATCGAAGATCTCAAGCATTTCCTTACTTACTATAAAGCTCCATTTATACAACTCTTCTTGAACAAAGTTCGCGTTTGGACGTTTTAATGGATCAGCATTCATACATTGAGTTGCCAATTTAATATAGCATTGGGGTGTTCCTGAAGCAAAATTTGGTCGTAATCCAGTACATATTTTCACACCAAGTGCAGTATCATTTATGTGATTGATATATGGAGGTTTTCCCGTAGACATTTCGGCCATAAGTATCCCTAAACTGTAAATATCAGCTGCTTTCGTATAATCGTTACCAAGCAAAACTTCAGGTGCAACATATGAAAGAACACCGTATACAACATCCTTATTACTTGATAGTTCTTCAATTTTCTTTGCTAATCCCAAATCCGCAATCATCGTTCTAACTGATTTAGAATCTGAGGTATGTAAAATATTTCCACTGTGAAAATCTCGGTGAATATACCCTGCTGAATGAATAGTATATAATTGATAAGATATATCCGCAAGAATTTTTAATTTATCACTCCACATGAGATTTGTAAAATTAGATGCCAAATATTGATAAAAATTTCCTTTATCAGCATATTCCATCACAATAAAATATTCCTTTGTAACTGAATCTTGTGCTAAGCCAAACAATATTGGAGCACAGAATGCCAGGTGACAGTTAAGATGTGCTTCAAACTTTATTTTAATAATTGAGGAAAAAAATTTATTAATTAAAAATATATATTTTTTTATACAATAAAATAAATTAAATATAGAAATATTATCTTACTTCTTTCAAAATATCTAATGAAGTATTTGAATTTTTATGAAAACTTTTAAGAGCAATTATGCAAGATTTATCACGGAATTTAACAAATTTATTTTTACCAACTTCTTTATAACCTAACATTCCATCTAACCAAATAGCGGAATAAACAGTACCAAATCCTCCTTCACCAATTTTTTTAATATTTTCAAGCCTATCAAATGGAATCCATTCAATTAAAAGAGCAATATTATTAATATTTCGTTGAATATCTTTAATTATATTATCGATTTCTTTATTTCCACTAGTTGGACTCTCTTTGATTAATCTTTGTGGGTCACATAAAAGACACCAATCATGATTAGTGTTATATTGATTACATTGAGAACAAATTCCATAACGTTCATCTCTTAATTCATCGATTGAAAGTGGATTACATGAATAACACCGATCTTGACTAGTATTATACCGTTTACATTGATGGCAAATGCCATAACTTTCATTTCTTAGTTTATCAGTTAACATTATGTATAAAAATTTTCACAAAAAGTTTAAGGTTCATGAAGGGTAAATGCAAAAAAGAAAATAAAAAAAATTTTAATATAAAGCATATACGTAAACAGTAATTATATGTATATAATACAACAGTCGCGATATAGAGATGATCTGCAATATATTAAAGAACTATTCTAAAATCGGTTCTATTTAAAAAAACGTTTTTTATAATCTAAAAAAAAACAATCAGTTTTAAAAAAACCTGAACATGTAGTCTAAGAATCCTCAGGGATCCCTGTTAATTTTTACATTTTACACACCCTTCTTATTAATTTTCTTTTTACACTCAATAATATTTATACTATAAACTTATAGCAACGGCCCTCAAATAAATACACGGGCACAAATTTTTTTGCCCAATAGAATTGCAGTGATCTATCCCTTACCGTATTACCTTGAAATAACGCCCGGGATGTAGGTTTAAAATTTAGCCCGAATTAAGCTTAATTCGAGCCAAATTTTTAGCTTATACTCCGGGGCATTATTTCGAGTTAATACGGTACGCCGTCAAGCTAATCCGCAGTAAATATGAAGTCCGACGTGATTAAAAGATAAGATTAAAACCATAATGTATAGTTATTGGATGCGTAGCAGCCAATAATAAATAATTATTACATATTAAACACAAAACACCTATTATGCCTTAAATAATAATTTAATTATTACGTATTAAATGGTTATGATAATAAATACTTTAATTATTATGCATTAAATAGTTATAATAATAATTTAATTATTGCACATTAAATAGTTACGAAAGTAATAAAATTTTTATTATGTATTAACGATTTACTAAACAAAAACAAATGCCGATACTATGAATAACAAAAATTATAAAATGCACCTATGATGTTGAACACCATATAAAATTTTATTAATAAAATTTAGGGTTAGAGTGCAGTTTTAGAATAAAGGAAAGTTTTATATAATATAATGTAGATTATATATAAGGTCCCGATTTCAGTTCTCATAAAGTTTTCATGGATCCTGAACATCTTTACTTAGAGTACCCGATCCTGGTTACTTAGTATGTTTTTGAGAAATAGCACTTATGGTGTTCAACACTATAGGTGCATTTTAGTAAACTTGATAAATAATTTCATTTTAAGTACGTATTAAATATGCAGTACATAAATATTTTGCTTTGCATTATATATTATGCATATTATTTATCATAAGAGTATGGAATTCATACTAACAATATAGTCTTGTTTTGTTACAACTCAATAGAACATTGCATTCATAACAGCAGAAGTTGTTTCTGAAGGATTTTTATTTCTCTTATGTTTTAAGACACATCTCCAAATGCATGCTTTTTACTCTAAAAATAATTTTTAAAAATTTTGATCTTATTAAAAGTTTGAAATTTTTAGTAAGATAAACTAAATATACTTTTGAAATAGAGAGTTTATTATTAAATTATTATATTCATTTATATTAAGTTGCCTTTAGCATCTTGTATTGCTTGTCAGATAAGATTATTATAAATGTTTTTGCTATTAAGTAATATATTCTGATATGCAAAACCTAAATTTATATAAATTTAATAGGCATTAATAAGTAATGTATTAAGTAATTGAAAAACTAGAAGTTGCAGTTTCAATAAGCAGCACAAATCAAATATTTAATATGTTTTATTAAGAATTCTTTTGTCTAATATTTTATAAACAAATTAAATACTTTGATAAAGATAGTAAAAAATAAGTTTGATCTGTTTTGTTAGTAAATTCCAAGTAATTGTATTGGCATATATTATTAAAGTTTATTACTAGTTTCAGTATATTAAGAAAAACTCTTTTTTTATACCAATTTTATAAAAATATCTAATATAAGTTATAATTTGTTTACTTTTTTATTTATAAGTTTTAAACTATCTAAACTTAATTTTTTATTTAAAGTTATATCACAATTTATTTTATAATTTTTAAAAATAAACAATCTATTAAATTTACAATTATATATCTTACAAAATTAAATAAAAAAAATAATAATGTTTTGATTATTTTACTAAGTTTTTAGATAAATTTTTTTTTAATTCTTAGTATTGCACTATAATTATACTTGTATATTAGTTTTAATTTCTTTAATATTATATTTTATAATCTAATTATTTATTTTTTTAATAATAATAATAATGCTATGTCTTTATCTTTATTAAATATTTAATTAAGATTTTATATAGAGTATAATTTTGCTTTTAAAATATTATAAAAAAAATAGAAGTTTAGACTAATTTATTTATAATCTAAACTAACTGAAGTAATCAAAGCTTATCTAAATTTGAATAGTTTTTTTTTTTTTTTTGCTTTCACTAAGGTCATTAGTTATGATGGCTACTGCCTTTATTGTGAATTCAATTATGATTATATAACTTGTACAAGGTTACCCCTTTACTACACTAGCAGATAGCAGCACAAGCTCTTGTACACCTAATTAGATGCTGTCTAACCTAACCTTGACCTTTCTGTCTGTACATCTGTCAGGCCGTTACATATTTTAGAGTATGTTACCTAACTATAGGGCTTCAGAGTGCCCTTCTGCTAACTAACTACTCATATTTAATCTTTGCTAACAGGGCTCCCCCTTGCAGAGTTTACCCAAACCCCAGTATTGACTTCATAGCATATCCCTAATACTTTAGTATACCCCTGTTTCTAATCTCAGACTCCCAATCCAGCTAGACCAGTAGGACTGTGACCTGTTCTTGATACCCTAGGGTCTGCCCCCCCAAGGTCCTTTTCCTCCAGTTTGAGTCTTCCAGCAGCCTGGTTGGTGGTACACCTCATCTAAGGTTTTTGCTCACTTAATTCCTTCCACATTGGTATCCATTTCCTAGGTCTAGCCTTTACAGTAGTACTGTCAAAGATCCATATTACCTCTCTACTCGGGTCTTCTCAAGTGGGCTTCAGTTATCTCAGTTCACAGATTTATATGGCCACAGATGCCCCATAACCTGCCAGTTATCTGGTGCGATCATGTTACAAGTACTGATTCCAACTGATCGATAGATAGCCATTGTCGTATTACCAGTTTCAAGGACTTATCTTGTGTTTGCACCGCCCAATGCCAGTTTGCATTCCTTTATATAACTCTAGCATTGCACAGATGCCCGTATACACCGATGTAACATAGGTAGTTTTCTAAATTTTCACTGTCGGTAGGTTTTGAACTCCCAACCTACCACTTAGGGGTTGACAACTTATCCACTTCACTAAGTCATCACACACTTTAAATTTGAATGTTAATAATTATGTTAGAAGATTAGTTTAATGTTTAATTTATTAGATACACTAAAAGTTTATTTTTAAACTAATAGAATTGAACAAAAAAGATCATAATAAGAGTGAAACAGAATTTGATAATAAGTTGTATTTAGAAAATTAAGCTATAAATCTTGAAATACAATAAAAAATTTAAATTTTGTGATAAATTGTTAATTAAAATAAAGTAAAAACTTTATAATAAGTGTTATATCTATTTTTTAGACAATAAACTTGTAATAATATTAATAAGTTCATTTGTTATTAAATCTATTAAAGTTAAGAAGACTGAGAATATATTTGATATAATGTAAATAGTTATACTACTTAGCAATTTAATTTAGTTATATAAATTAATTATAGTATTTAATATAATATCAAGTATATTAGTTTTAAAAATATGTTGTAAAGAGATATTTATAAGATTATATAATAATTAATTGGATGAACAA